CGGAAACAACCTGATAGTACCAGGCTAAAAAGAGGGCATGTCGCCATCTCAATAATTCAATTTTTTCCCTTCGAATGTTTTCTGGGAGGACATTCATCCACTGAAATCATCCAACAGAGCTTTTACTGTAGCTTGACCTACACTACAGGCCAAAAGTTTGGAAGCAAGATCAGATTTGTACAAAAAAAGATCATAGTTTCATATATATATAATTTGCAACACAAGAATCATGACTGTTGTGTAAAGAGTAACTTATCAGAAGATATTTTGACTGTAATTATTAGGTATTTGAGTTATTGTTGCTTAGACTTTGCTTTCTTTAAAGTAACCTCCCCTGGCTTTAACAACAGCTTGGCATATACCAGGCATTCGTTCCACAAGTTTTTCTAAGGTATGTTCCAGGGATTGCATTCCAAGCTTTCTTAAGTTCATTAAAAAGAGACTGCTGATTCGTGGGGCACGTTTTTCTGACCGATCGATCCAATTCATCCCGCACAAGCTCAATTGAGAAAGGTCTGGAGACTGAGGGGGCCAAACCATCTTTTGAAGAACACCTTCCTCTTCTTTTTTGTCTAGGTAACCCTGACAGAGCTTGGCAGAGTGCTTAGGGTCATTGTCTTGCTGCAAAACAAACTTATGAGCCACAAGTCTGAGTCCAGATGGAGCAGCATGGTGCTGGAGGATGGAGTGGTACTGTTCCTTCTTCATGATACCCTTTACTTCAAACAAATCTCCTACTCCATCACCTGCAAAACATCCCCATACCATGGAACTACCACCTCTATGCTGAATTGTGGGTGTAACACATGGTGCGTTCAGACGTTCACCAGTTTGTCTGTGGACATAGACTCTGCGTTTTGAACCAACTAGAGCAAACTTGTTTCTAGTCATCATAAGTCCAATTTTTGTGAGCTTTTGCCCACTTGTATCTCTTTGTCTTGTTCTGTGGACGAAGAAGTGATTTTTTGCAAACACAACCCCTCAGGCCAGCCTTTCTCATACGTCATTTCATGGTTGTCAGAGATATGGGTTTCGACCTGGTCATGTTGATTTCCTTCCTTATTTTTGGTGCTGTCTTTTGCCGATCTCTCTTACTGGTGACAATGCTATGTTTATCCTCTGCTTTTGTAGCAACTCTCTTTCATCCAGGTCTTTTTCTATCATCATAACTTCCAGGTTCCTCTAGTCTCTTCAGAGTGTACTGGACTCCTTTGTTAAACACCTTTAGGCGTTTTGAAATTTCTCTGTGTATCCTTCTTTCCTCAATGTACAAAGATGTACTTTTGTTTCTTTACTCAGTTGCTTCTTTTTAGCCATTTTTGCGGTAGTTTGAACACAGTTGAGATTTATTAGGATTTATGTATGCAGACTCTCAAAAGCCATAAAGTTGAACTGAATAATCCAACTGTGATTTTTTTTGCTTTTGCACTGAAGTTGTGACTCTTGCAAATGTTTCCAACCCTAAAACTAAGTCCTTATTATCTTTTGCAGACATACATTTAGCAATGGTCTGTTAACATCAATGTATATCTAAAGGTAAATGGAGTAAAATGGTGCATTTCCATGAAAGCAACATCTGATCATGGAGTAAATACATAAAACTCATGTTGGATTAAAAAAAAAAAGCATTGTGAACAAAAACTTGAAGGTACTCCCAACTGTTCGGCCTGTAATTGCCTTGCTTCCAAACTTTTGGCCTGTAGTGTAGCTGTGAAGTTAACATTTTGTGTGTTGTAGCAGAGTCAGCAAAGTTAGGACCAGCTCATCAGACTAGAATCCCAGCTGAATGGGAGTTGAATCCTCACTACCTGAATGGGAGTTGAGACCTGGATAGTTGTTTTGTGATTAAGTTACAAGTTACAGCGCTTGATCATGATCAATGTGCTCCTCTTAATAAGGAGACACACTCAGTGGTATCACTACAAGTGTTCAATGGACTCAAAATATCTGCAGCCCACCTGCTGTTAGATAGACTTTGAACTCATACCACCCAGTAGATTAGTCACTTTAGTTGCTAACATTATCGTTAGCCTGCTAACAAAAACGCACACAACAGTTCAAGTAATTTAAGCATCTTAGGGCTCTATTTTCGTGTACGCCGGTGAGGCGGCGGAGGGTGGCAGACCCCGCGCAGTTGTATTTTCATCCAGCGGAGCCCGGCGTACAAGGAGGTGTCGACAGAATCAGCGGGTGCATTGACTTTTTGTGCTCGCCACCGGCGTATAAAGTGCACTGAAAGCTCGCCTATTCAAACCTGGACAGCTTTCAGCGCAGACGGAGCGCAGCTGGTCTAGAGGTATTTTGGTAGACCGGCGGCATATCGGCAGACGTCACTGATGCCTCACCGGCAGGTTTCCACAGTGTCAGGCACATTTCAGTGCAATAAATAATCATCAACAACCAATATTCTGAATCAGCACATACATTTAGACCTATATTGATATATTCTGCTCTTTATCTGATCTGATGAGTGCGTTTGGCACGCGTTTGGACACACAACCTGACCGAATCAACACAGCTGAAACCACATTAAATTAAATTAAATATTTAGTAAATAGACACACATGATGAAGTTAACAGTATATGTAATTCGTCTCCCTCCTTTTCTTTTCTCCTCTTCCTCTTATTTCTCGCGCAGCTCGACCTGGACATGTCTCCGTGTCCTCTCCCCGTCCTGCTGCAGCTGCTGCTGTGGCGGCTGAACAGATGATTTATTTTAGTGATCAGATGAGTTATTTACTTTAAGCCTACATACGAATATTATGATATTCAGTTTTGTGAGCCAAATTTATTTTATATGCCAACATCTATAAAAGAAAGAGCCAGGCCACGGAGCGCAATGCGTCATTACGCACAGATGGTTCCGATTTTAATGCCATTTTGGGAATTTATGATGTGATCTCTGCGCTCAACCCACCTTTGTCACGTGAGGTTTGAATATATGCAACTTTATGCGATTGTCTTTATTTGTGGAAAAAGGTGTTTGTCTTACCAGTGGGTCCAAACTTACACACACCAAATCCATCTGTGCTTATATGAGAGAGTGTGGAGGATGCCCAATGCAGCACTTACAGTGACACTTGTTGAGGGGCTGCATTCTGTCACCATCATGTGGCATTACTGTCTTCAGACATCTCTTTATCTCTTTGACTACTTCACTAAAATTGGAATATGCCTCGCCGGTGGGGGATTTAAAGGCAAGGAGAGGAGCTTATGTGATTGGTGAATACAGGTCTCAGCTGTGTTAAACCCACTCCACGCCCTCTCTCCTCCCTTGCTATGACTTACGCCGCTGGGAGCAGCTGAGTTAGGGAGGGGGGATACTTTGCCGGGCTGCGCCGCTCACCAATACCAAATTGTGCTTGGGAACGCCTTGTCGGCGCTGCGGACCTCACTTACGCCACGCATGCGCCACGTCGCCGGCAAGGCACGAAAATAGAGCCCATAGCTTCTATTCTTGATGCATCCTGGACAGATGTCTGGGCAGCTCGTTGTTTGCTTTGGTGTGTCTGTTATAGGCCTGGGTGATTTGGAAAAAAAAATGATCACGATTTATTTTGTCATATCGTCCGATCTCGATTATCACAATTTTTTTTTAAACTGCCAGTTTTAAAGTATCTGTACTAAAAACTAAAAAGACTAGAGATTAGTTTAACATTTTATTAACATAAAAAGTACATAAAGCAAATTGAATAAGATACACTTAGAAAAATCTAAAAAACATTTTAATTCAACAGTGCAACAAATGTAGATAAATACTAAGTAATACAGAGAACTAGTTTACAGTCCTGAGTGTTTTTGAAGGTATGCAAGACCCAAAATCTCCCCCTCAGAGGTAATGAAGGTGCTTTAAAACGTAAACATTAGGTGATGTAAATGTAGATGATACGCATACCTGCGAACATTTGGGTTATAAAATCCAGGAGTTGTTTGCGGTGCACACTGGGCAGTTTTGGGGTGACCTCGTATGGTGGATATGAGCTAATTATGAGAGTATTTGTAATTAAATTGCTCATACAAATAAGTGTAAGTGAAGCTGCACACTTTTGTTTTGTTTTAACAATAAAAAATGGTAAAAAAAACCCAAAAAAGATAAAAGGTATGATATGCCTTAAACTTATTTAGTCTACTACTATTAGTGTTAAAGTCCTCATGTTTTACATGCTCTCCCGTATGAGGCTCTCTGAACATCTGTGCATGAAATACAGCACTCTTTTATCCGAGGCTGCCCTGAACGCATCACTCTCGCATATCCCGCGTTTGTTTTCCTTTCATTGAAGTGTTCATTTTCCAACAAACACTGCTTAAATATAGTTTACAGCTGAAACCGACCTGAATCATCCCAAATTGTAAAGTAAAAGTATCAATCCACTGTCTGTGAGGCTCAGCAGAAACACAGGACTATCTCCGGTTGTCTGGAAACCTGGAAACTTTGGACAAATATAGTGATCTGATTCATGAATGAATGCTGACCATGCTACGAGAAATTCCCAGGAGAAATGACAATACGGGGGTGGGTGGGAGATAGGTCTGAAATAGGGGAAAGTCCCAGGTTAAACAGGAGTGTTGGCAGGTATGGATATGATTGAACGCTGTTTTGGTCTGTGGCTGCACCACTAGTTGTGGCTAAACTGCTAATGCTACTCGTACCATCATCAGTGGCAGGCTGTACAGACTCCGCTCGCATTTTCATGCTTCCCGCATAATCACTCGGAAGGAACAGATTTGCTATTGTGGCGACACAAGATATATTTTACCAGTTTGGATACCAACCGAACTTTGTTTGTCCAACAACGCCACCTTGGGAGAGGGCCCAAGGACCCGTATCTAAAGGTCAATTACCACCTAGTTATCTGAGGCACTCAGGTTCATTCAACCAGGGAGGCAGGAGATGAGAATCAATAATAACGTACAAAATTTATTAATAAAAGGTTGACATAATTAATAAGATGCAAATATGATAACGGAGCCCAACTGAAACAGGGATACAGGCTGAGGCGCACGGGCTAGAGGAGGGGTCAAAACTGGTGACGTCCAAAGAAAAGAGAACACCCCACTCACAGCAAACATAAGGTGCACACAAATAAATCTTCAAACGGGGAGTCAAATAAAACGCACACACTCAGGGATCACCACCACCTTGGAGGACCACCACCACCACCGTTGGCCGTCAGCTCTGTAGGGGGAAAAGAAACACAATTAGGGAAAGGGACTCATAAAGAAAACACACCAAAACATAACCAAATCAATAACTAATCAATTTAACTGGGTAATAATGTTCAAAATGAATCAGAAATCAAACAAAGGAAACATTAACGACTCTCTGGCCAGAGATAAACTCAGAAAACCAAAAATTAATTCATTTAAACCACTAACAAAAAGGAACTCAAACTAAACATTACCCATTAAAGTATAATAAGTACATTTCCAAAAATAAACAAATCACTTAAACAAAACAAATAAAAACAACCAAACCAAGAAATTACCCCAAAAAGAACAAAACGAAATGAATGAGCGACCTTCACAGAGTGCCTTTAAAAAGTCAAACACACATCCTCACACACAGTCCGAACCGGGGACTCGCAGTCGCGTCCACCCGGGTAACACACTCGCTCCACACCTCGCACGGCTGCTGGGGGGACAAAGTCAACAAAGGGGAGTCGGCGTGAGGCAGCCGACTGCACCCCAAAGCAGGCCGGCAAACAGCGGAAGCAGCGGAGGCGTTCAGTAACGGCAGCAAAGCGGTAGCGAAGCAGCAGCAGCAGCAGCAGCAGCAGCAGCAGCACAGCGGCAGTAACCAGGTAGCCGGGGGCTAACCAGCCATAATGAGATAGGGCCTTTCGTACTTAGCTTTCAGTGTCTGCAAAGTCCGGTTCATCCGCCGTGAGTTTTAGTCCCGTCCAAGAGGGAGAGGGGTGAAGAAAGCCTGCACAGCAGGCAGAGACAGCCACGCGCTGCACGAGGAGACAGACAACTATGAGGGAAGGAGCGGAAAGGGGCTTAGCACCTGGCTAACAACAACAAACAAAGGTAGCTCGCCATGACTCACCTAGGCTTGGATGACAGCGGTGAATGCGCCCGACAGTCTCGTCCCCAGACGCCAAATGCCGGATCTATCAATCAACAACGGTTTAGATTAAATAAAACCCAGACGAGGGTGCACAAATCACATGCCAAGATGAGCCTACCTGTGCTCCGAGGTGAGCAGCATGGGCGACGACCCGGAAGTGGGCGGGCCGAAGAGGCAGGAAGCGAGAGGTCAGGGGGAGAAATGCAGCCTACTTTTATACCCTCTGTCTGCACCATGATTGGCTAAGAGCTTGAAAGAGGCAAACAGAGCCGAGCTTGAGGCCATGGTGCCTCATACCACTACACTATGTTGCCGGTTTATCGGCTTAATTGCTCGACGTCACTTTGGAGAGACGTCGAATAACTTCTCAACTATAACATCTTCTGAGGATGACTCAAAGTCATGGCTGACATCTATCTTGCTGCCCTCAGCTCTGCGTTTAGCTTTACATTCGGTCATTCTGTTGATTTCTCCGGTAACTTACAGAAGTGAGCAGGAAAAGCTCGACTCTGATTGGCTGTTGTGACGCACGTTTCCATCATGTTTGATCGAGTAAATATGCTCACAGCTGATCACCGTGATTGAACTGAAATTTATTGCAATCATCAATCACAATCATATAATCGCCCAGTCCTAGTCTGTTACATATCAAACATGCCAAACTGCTCTGTCCTAAACTGGACTCAGCATTGAGAGACCTTTTAGGGCAGAGTTAGGGGCAGTGGTAGATTTCTCTCCAGGTTTGATCATTCACCATGCTTGGTGTCAGGAGTCTGTGTTGATTTGTTTTGGCAAAAGAGTTTAAGACAGATTCAGTTAGTGGAGAAGAGAAGTTCATCATCGTCGTCATCATCATAAAGAGTAAATCTATTTTTGAGGCTGGTGTTGAATTTGATTTTTTCCTCTCCCTCTTTTGTCAGCTGGATTACCTGGGCGACTGATGTACAAACAGCCCAACACTGCTCAAAAGATTTGAACTCCTTCTTTGTCTGTGTCTGCAAATTAGACAAGGCCAGAAAACAGTTATCTCCAAAAACTTCACAAAAAAGTAAAGACGTGGGTATAAGGCTGACTTAAGGGTCAAGAAATCAAGAACACTTCAATAAAACCTTCTTCAAGCCTAAAGTCCAAAAACCTGAGGAGGATCCCAAACCAGACTGACTTACCCTGGGACAACATCACAGTCCTCAGTGAATATTTGGTGCTGTTTGAAACTTAGTATGACTTTTACAGTGTGTAGAGAGAAAAATGGTTTTCAACATGAAAGTCAAATTATTCTCTGCATTTTGATTTTAAATATGGAAGCTTTGTGATAATGGAGGAGACTCATACATATTACACTTTAGTAGTGAGGTTTGAGTGTGTCACTGGTGCACAGATCAGGGTATATGTGTTGGGTTGGTGCAGAGCTCTGATGCACCTTGAGGGGATGAGCTCCCTCTGCAGGAAGCCCTCTATCCCCTGATGTGTCCCAGTGCCCCTGTAGACCCCTCAGGTCTTTATAATGCCCCTGATGATCCATCCAGCAGCCCTTTGAATTGTATGAATCATGGTGAGCAGTGAAACTACTGCAGGGTGGGGTCATGCACTCTAGGGCCAGAGATCAAATGTCAGCCCTCCAGCAGTGAACTGCTGGTTAAACTGTGACTTCCTCTCTCTCTGATCCTGACGTCTCAGCTGGACATCAAGAGAAGTCTGAAAGATGAGAGCCTGACTCTGAAGAGATCCCTGATCACTGTCTCTGATTTTGTCTGGTATTATTAAGCAAAAACAAAAACAGTTGACTACGTATTTGGTCCAACAGTTAACTCTGAAACTCTGGCTGTCCACCTTTATTGTTTATTTGATGAAAACAAAGATACCCTTACTGTCTCCAAGTTCCTTCAAAAGAGAATTTTAATGGTCAAAATGACAGAAGAAATCATCATTCGATCTGCTTTGTAAATTAAGTTTTTAATCACCATAAAATGCCTTTTTTTTATTTTAGCACAGCCTGTGGTTGGGAGAAGGCAGGTTGCGAAAAGAGAAGAAAAAAATGGGTAAGATCATGAAATGGTAGGAAGTGTGCACAAATGCATGTTTAAAATGATCTAATGTGAGTGTGTGGTACAGCTAAAGAGCTCAGCCTAGCACAAAGAAAGGAGGTGGTGAGTCTGCTGATAGGAGGCAACACAAAGCTAAAGCTGACTCCTTTTCTTTTGCTTGTTTGTTTAATAAATTAATTTCTAAAAGTGTGAATCAAGTGTGCTGGACTTTCCCTTGAGTTTTTCAGAAGCCTCTCCAGTCTTCTTCTAGTTTTGAGTATGCATAAGGAGGGGCCTCCTTCAGTTAGGTTTCCCCCTGGATTTGAACATGCTGCCAGCTTGTTATAATCCTCCAAGACATATGACCTGTTTTTGTAGAACTTGGCCCTGACTTTTTATCCTGCCTTGTTTGCTGAGTGACAGTGAAATAATGATCCTTACTCAAGTTGTTTTTCATCCTCACTGTATTTTCCTAACATTTCCATGTGGCCATTTGCATCCCAGCACTTAACAAAGTGTGCTTTTTGACGTTTGTTTGTTTCCTTGGTTTTTGATACTGAACAGCACAGGCCTTTGAAATCATTCAATCTTTATCTACTCGACTCTGTGTGTTCAGGTCTTTGTTTTTCTCCCCCTCACCTCCCCACACCTCATTTCTCTTTGCCTTGGCATGCTGCCCTCAGTTCTTGTGGGTCCATATACTTTGGTTTTAGAGGCAGCGTGCTCTTTTTGGTCATTAATACCCAGATGAAATGGTCTGTGACTCTTCCTGGCCTGGTGAGAAGGCAGAGATGTATCAGTAGAGCTTCTCCTGTTCCAAGTAGACTTCCCCGGAAGCCGCAGGGTTGTAACCAGAGATTTTAAAACAGCTAAAGCCCTGTTTACAGTTTGTTAAAGGATAGAGGCAGAGAGATACTTAAGAAAAAAGATAGGAGAAGAAACAACAAAGCTACCTGAGTAAATGTGGTCGCTTTAGTTGAGCTAGTTTGCTGCGTGCATCAGTGGTTCACTCATGCTGCCTCAGACACACCGTGGTTTCAGAGATTTACACTTAGCATAATTATGGACTCCAAAGATGACATATTTACACCAGCTTTGCATCTGAAGAAACCTTGGTCATATTTGGCAGTGGAGCCGTGGCAATAACTGGTGTTTCCCAATGAAAAATAATAATAAATTAGCATCCACCTTAAGCAAACTTCAACAAACCTTTGGGACAACAAATCAACTGACCACTGCCTCCATCTGTGGGCCACCTAGGAGCAGCAGCCCCCTGCAGCCCCTTCTCCTCTACCATGACCAGTCATCACCAGACAACACTCATCTTGTTTTTTTTTTTGGTTGAAGCTCGAAGGGTCTTGTTCCCCACCGTCACTCAGGCCCTGTGTGTCACTCTGTGTCAAAAAAAAATCCCAAGTGAGGAGAATGTCCTTGATTTGTCATTGTCATTCAGGATCAAAATAGCATCCTGTATCATGACCAAATCAAATAGTGGTGGCACCACCCACAGTATGCACACACCGACCTCCCTCCGTAAACATGGGCGGCTTTTAGCCAGGTCTCCGGTGGTCCGACTGTGGTCCCACCTCGCACCAGGGCCATGCTGGCATCTGTTTGAAATCCAAACCTGTCCAAGGAGTGAGATGCTACGCCCTTCAGTCCTGGCTGCCAACCAGGAACTGTAAATGTGGCTCCCAACCTGAGGTGAATAAACAGAGGAGAGGGTGGACCGTCTGAGGGGCCAAGATATGAGTGTGTGCAAGATTTTGAGTCTGCAAATTAAAGTGCATACAAATCAGCAGGGTGGCATGTGCATAGTAAGGATAGAGTAGTAAATATGTGTACAGAGAGGAGGGGGGAAGTTGTGAAGCTTAAAACTGAAGAGTTTTGCTGGTTGTTAAACAGTATATCTCACATGGTGCTTAAAAAATCAGGGTGCATCATAAGAGAGAAATTGAACAGGATAGTTGTCAGCTGGTCTGCTCTCTCGGATAATGAAAGAGCTATTCAGGGCTGTGGGTGGCAACAGGTCTGGGGCTTTTTTCGTATTCCTCTCATTATCCATAGATTCCTTGATCAAGATTGGTGTGCTATTACTTCTCCTTATTGTATATGAATTTTTGCAATGTTAGTCGGGGAAAAAAATAGCATTGAAGTCAATGGGACAAGCCCAAAAAAAAAGGGGGGGGAAGTTATTGGAGCTTTTCAAATGTCTATCCTCCGGCTGTTTGTTTTTTTTTTTTAAATAAATAAATACTTGAAAAAGGAATGTTTAGTGTAGGTGTGCTCCTTCTATATAATATCACAATGCCACTAGTATTAAATATTTCAAATCTCTGAAGAATCTCATCATAATGTACACACTGCCGCAGTGGCCCTTTCAAAATTTCCCAGAGAAAATTTTCGAGTCAAACCTGCCTCTCTCCTTACAAGATGAGAATACTAACTGGGTATAAATCATGCACTTTCAAAACCTGGAGTATCAGGTGTAAATATCCGAATTCATCAAAATCTCATTTTTGAATGTATTTGTTTTAAAGGAGGAAGTCCCAACTTTCACTGTTTGAATGATGTTGGAGTTGTAGTGG